CCGGGCCGGGCCAGCCCGCTTCTGCCGCAGGCGGCGCGGCTACTGCGCCTTCCCCTGCCCGCGCCGGTGCCGGTGCCGGTGCCGTGCGGCGACTCCCGGCTCCTCCCGAGGTACTCACCGAGCAGGGCCCCGCCAGCGCCGCCGCCGCCCCAGCCCGGCACGGCGCCGAGCCCCCGCTGTCAGCCCAAACCCGCGGCGCTGCTCCGCGCCCCGAGAGCTGCTGCGGGCTCCGATGTCCACCGGCTCCGCTCAGCCGCCCGCGCCAGCGCAGCCTCGCCCCTGCTCGCCGCCCCGGGGTTTATTTTCTGGAGAAGTCTGGCACCGGTCTTGGGCCTCTTGCCCCCCAGGCAGCTCGTCTTCTGCACCGCCTTGTCTCCATTCCCTGCAATTTCAAATCTCCACGCTCTTTCATTCCTGCGATACCGGCTAATTCTGGTTTGGCGGAGGAGATTTGCAGTCCTCTCACATGCACACTCTTGTGGCTGAATGAAGTTTATTGCTGCACAGGTTATCGCTGGAAATTTACATCTGAGAGAGTTAGAGGATATAATCTAATAAAAGCAGCCAGTATCAAGGTTTTAATGGCTGTTGGGTTATGTTTACTTCAGAGAGGCTGGTTGAATTTATGTAGCCAAACCACCCTAAGAATGAAGCTTGAATACTTCATTGTATAGCCTTATTTGTGCAATAAATAAGCTTCAAAGATATACCTCTCTTAGAAGTAGAAAAGAGTTGAAGAGATATACTACTTTTTCAAAGCAGTATCTAGACCTCGGTTGTATCTTTCTGAATAATCTGACATTAATGAGGTATACATTCTACAATATATTGCTTTGACTATTTGAAGTGAATTTACGCAGACTAAAGTGATAGCCTGCCACTGTACAAAACTTTCATCATCAGAGAATCTTTGTGTCCTACAGCAGTGTGGTGAATAGCATAAATAATGGCTTTTCAAGAAGATGTAAGAAGTAGTTTGAGAGAAGACAAAATAAGGAGAGACCAACAGGAATATTTAAGTGTTGTACATTCTGCCTATGTGCATAACATGGTGGTTCAGAATTTGTTATAAGAAAGTTGGTTTGGGGATTTAGAAAATATGTGTCTGGGGCTTTTTATATATTTCTTTCTACATTTTTATTTGACTATACTCTTTGGCCTATGTGCCATTTACATATGCAAATCTCATCTATGTTTTCATTAAAGTTTAATGTTCTGTTCCATTATATATCTAGTCCATCAAATACGTTGATATGAAACACTTTTGTCTGGTTTAGTTCAAGTGTGTGGCAGACGATGGGCTTTTGCTATGGCTTCAGTCTTTACGTAAATCTTATACTACTTTGCATTTTAATCTTAAACAGATAATCCTTTTCCAGAATAAACAACTAGATTAGTGTCAGAGACTTGTGAATGGGTTCATTTACTTTTGCTTTGTAAAGAAAACTAGATTTCCCATTTTAAAAGATTATGGAATTGCATTGCAAATGTCTGTCATTCTGAAGTATACGTGTTCCCAGTTACTTTGTGTCTTGCAATACCTTGCCCAATAGTCTATGGGCATTTGTATTCCAGATTTTAATTTGGGCATTAGCTTTTTGGCTGGACTCTAGTTTCTTAAAAGGTTTAATGCTACGGACTCGACACTTGAAATTTGCTGCTTAGTGGCTACTGTTATTACCCAAGTTTGAGACACGTACATTTTGATTTGTGAATCATCTAACACACTTTATTAACCCTACTAGTGAAACAGAATTACTGGGATTGTAGGATGACTAATCACAAAATATTAAACAATAAATTAAAAAATGTTCACTCATATTCCCTGTAGTACTTGAGATGCCACCTCTGAGCTCAGATCCTTGTGCTAACAGAGATTCTGTTTTTACAGTTTGATCAGCTGGAGAAGTCACTTAGCTGTGTCATACTGCTTCAGCAGTTCTGGTTCATATATCATTGTCGTTCTGGACTAAAATCTTGGATGTATGTTGTTTCTTGGGAAGATGAGTATGGATGGATCTATTTGAATTTTAACCATTAAATTGTGCAGGTCTAAAAGCAAGACTACAAATTATGTTCAGTAAGAAAAAAAGTCCATAGGAATGGGAAGGGCAATGCTATGGTATCAGAAAAAGTCTGCAGTTTTTAGCAAAAATGCATAAGGTGCCTGATCCAGTAAAATTAGATGTGAACAAAGTCTGACAGACCCTGGTGCCTTAGAAATTCGAACTGTATAAAATCATTTGATGGCAGCCTAAACCAAACTGGTTTTCACTAGTTTTTACTAGTACCTTACCCATTACATGATGGTAATTATGTGTCACAATATAACTTAAAGGGAGAGAGGAAGAGGGGCAGAGAGAAGGGGGGGAAGGCAGGAGTAGGAGGAATTGGCAACTCAATTCTGTTTACTGTCTGGGGACCACTATGGTGGCTTAGACTTTTACAGTCATGGAAGTGGTGGTTGGAAGGGATCTCTGGGGTCAACCCAGTCCAGCCTTCCACTGGAAGCAGGATTGTGACCTGTGGTATTTCAGGTCAGCCATGGCTTTGCCATTGAAAGCCTTCAAGGATAGAGACTCCACAGCCTTTCTGGGCAGTATGTTCCTGTGCAGCACCACCCATGCACAATCACATGCATCCAGACATGACTCCAGTGACACACTTTGTGGCCTTTGCTCCTCGTTTTACCGTTCACTACTACTGAGAAGAGTTCAGCTCAATGATATTTGCCACTCCCCTTCAGGTAGTTGTAGATTTTATTGGAACTCCTCTTATTTTCTTCTTTGCCAGGCTAACCAAGCCCAACTTCTTCAACATGTTTGTGCAAGTCATATGCTGTAGGCCACTTACCATCTCATAAGCCCTCTGCATGCCCCTTTCCTGTTTTCCTGTTTCTTGCCATCCTTCTTGAACTGGGGAACCCCCATATTATCCCAGGCATGGACCCACTAGCATGGAATAAGGAGAGATAATAATTTCTATTCATCTGCTGTCCATGCTCCTTTCCTAATGTAGCTCAGTCTATGGTTTGCTTTATTCACAGTGAAAACACCCTGTTGGCTCGTATTCAACTCAGTGTCCACTGTGACAGCCACATGCTTTTCAGCTGGGCTACTGCTCAGGCAGCCTGCACTGGTGCCTGGCACTATTCAACCCCATGTGCACAACTTTGCACTCCTTGTTAGACTTCATGAGGTTTCTGTTGACCCACTTTTTAAGTTTCTCAAAGTCCTCGCAACTGAAGCTCTGGTCTTTGGATTGAGAACCACCCCTTCTAAGTTAGTATTGTCTGAAAATCTGCTGCAGGTGCATCCTGTGTTATCATCCAAGTTACAATGAAGGTAATGAACAATACTGGCACCAGTATTGCCCCCAGAGTGTTCTGCTTGCACTCGCCACCTACTAAACACCAACCCATTGATTACTACCCTGCAAGCCCAGCATCCATCCAGTTTCAACCCAGCTAGCAGTTCATTCATCCAGACCATGCTCCTCAGCTTTTTCCTCACCTTGGGCTTTAATCACTTGCTTAATCCCATTGCTCAAAATGGCAGCTGGGCTTTCAGCCCTCCGAAAACGTGTATTGATGAAAACATAAAATGCTGATTTAGCTTCCCAGCACTTTTCCTCTACTGTTGCTGCAGTGCTGATTACTCTCTTCCCGAAAGCTCTCGTTAAGTTGCCACCCTACTTCCCATGAAATGGTAATTCTGCAGTGACTGATAAGGAAATAAAGATTTGAAATAACAGCTTGGTTGCTGCAACATCAAGATACAGAACAGAAAAAGCATCTTGCTTCCAGTTTTGTTGAATCCCTGAACTTTTAACCAGTGTGAAGTATCACCAAATAACCCACTCCATTCTTGCAACACAGTTATTGTTACAAAGAAAGATAAATGATGATATTTAAATATTTCACCTCCTCTTTCTTTCAGCAACTTTTTTGGGTTACTAAAGAATTCGGTATATTTGGAAGGGCCTATTACATTGGTACTGGATTAAAAAGAAAAAAAAAAAAGGAAAAGAACCCCAAACTTAGTATTTTAATTTGGCATAGAGATTGCACAGTAGTACAGCTTTCTTTCACCCTAAAAGCTTGTGGCTCTTAATTTTGGTAACTCCAGGCTGCCAAACATATATGCCAAGCATATTTTCTTGTTTTTCCCACTGCCTTTCTGAAGATAATCCTTGGTATCTTTGGTGGACTTACCACAAAACATCATCCTCAAGGAATACTCTGAGCAAGTACGGATATTTTCAGCAACTCCCCTGCCTGTTCCCATGATAGCTGCAGAACCTTACCCAGATGGGAAAGAATAAACTAACTTGCTATCTTCAAGTTCACCCAAAACTGAGAATAGACCATGGGAACGGAATTCAAAAGTGTAAGAAAAAGCAATATTTTTATCATTGCTGGCATGGAGATTTATATTTGGACAATAACTACTTGTCTTTTCTCCCCTCTCCAAGAGTTGATGCATTGTAGCAGCTACAGATATGGGAGGGATCAGGAGGTTCTGTCCAATTTTCTTAGATCCTTCAGGGACACCATGTCTAAAAAAACTATTATGTGTATCCTATGAGAGATGTGAACATTTCCTGGAGTGTATTGATAAAAGGATAAAGGGATGGTCCTCAGCAGGTGGGGATGCTGACGAGGTTAACAATCCTGCCTCAGAGTGGCGTGTCTATTTCATCAGTGCCTTGTCAAGATTCGTGTTAGAGATTCCCCCAGCAAAACTGAATATTGCTATTCCACCCACGAGGAGATGGGGCTAGGTTCTTACTGCCGCAGGAAAGGGGAGTGCAGCAAAGATGAAGAGGGAAAGGAGTGGGAAAAGGACACTGAGCTGGAGAAGCCTGGAGAGCTGGCAGGGGACATTGGAGGGGTAGGAGCACATATAGTGACTTCTGTTTCTGAACTGCTGCCAACCCCATACTTTTAAGTCCTTCAGGGGGAGCAGCAGCAGTAACCTGGGTTTCCAGGTTGCAGATGAAGCCAAGCAGGAAAATGGATGTTCTGCAACTCCTTATAGTTATTTCCCAGCTTCAGGAAGTCACAAAACAGGAGAAATGGCATTTGCTCACAAACAAATGAAAATGTGATAATACAGTCTTTTTTTTTGCAGCCGTACTTAATTTCAGCCTTGTACATTAGCAATCCAAGTTGCATATTACATATAAGGGAAACTACCCTATAAAAAAAAATCCTATTAGTCGCAAGTGCTATTGTAACACTAACGTGTTTTGCACATGCTGATATCTTGCTTTTCTGGTTTAAAACGTGTGAGCACAAGGGCGTGGTTGCAGTGGTTAAACATCACAAGTACCGTACCAGGAGAAAGAACTCGGGGCCCTGCGACGTGAGTCACGGCTGCGCTGCTGTCACTTCCTCCTCTGGGCCAGACCTGCCGCCTCAGAAATT